TACATACTTTTTTACATTACTAGACTTAATCTTAATGATAAATTCTGTCATGCTTTGAGTATTTTAAATCATCCTGAATAATATTTGTACAAAAATTGCTCCTGCAATTTTAGTCAGAAATAAACGCATTAAGCAAATACACTCACCGGCACGGAAACTTGGCCACTCGTGAATTTGCTGATTATTTGCACTGAAACGTTTTTTTAACAGTAAATTAAGGGTAGATGCATTCAATAAGTGTCTCTAATGGTTTTAGAACATAGAAATTTAATGTTTACTTCACCGAAATTTTTCTTTTCAAGATAACATGTTTTCACTAAAATTAACATCTTTCCATTGTCACTTTAAAAACACTACAAAGTTAAAAATTAAGTCTGTTTCTTTATTGTCTATCAGTTTTAATATCGGGTGTTTCCTCCTCTAGCCCTGATAACCGCTTGCATTCGATCTGGCATGCTTTGAATGATGTTTCTGACATCAACTTGCGGTATGCTGTCCCAAGCGGCCAGCGCTGCATTTCGGAGCTCATTTAGAGTTTGTGGCGGTTTGGAGCTGGACTTTATCTTTCTTTTGAGCATACCCCATACATGCTCAATTGGATTTAAGTCCGGGCTACGAGCTGGCCACTGTAATTTTTGTATTCCAACCTCTTCCAGATATTCCTCTACACAATGTGCGACGTGCGGGCGTGCATTATCGTGCATGAGGAGGAATTGGTCGTGTCCAATGAATCCCGAATAAGGCATTACGTGCTCCTGAAGAACTTCCTCGATGTATCGAGTAGCTGTAAGCCGATTATCGACGATGACCAACTCTGTACGTGCGTCGGAACTTACACCTCCCCATACCATTATTGAGCCTCCATGGAAACTCACAGTTTGGGTGGTGGTAATGGGTAGAAACCTCTCTCCTCTTTTTCTCCACACTCGTTCTCGACCGTCTGGAGCACGTAAAGCTATTCGACACTCATCTGTGAACAACACTCTAGCCCATTGCTCGTGGGTCCAATTGACATGTTCTCTTGCGAACTGAAGTCGGGCTACTCGGTGCTGTCTGAGAAGTTCTGGACCTCGTGCTGGTCTACGAGCTTTTAAATTCACTTCCTCCATTCGTCTTCTCACCGTACGCTCACTAACATTAACGCCTCTTGCGATTTAGAGCCGCTGGCGTATCTCAACAGCGGTCAGGTAGCGGTTTCTCAAAATCTCCATAACAATAAAACGATCGTCCCGGGCCGATGTGCACCTTACGCCCCCACTGCCTGGCCTGCGGGTGTAGCGGCCTGTCTCCTGGTATCGTTTCAGTGAATACTGCATTGAGGACCGTGGTACGTTAAGCACAATAGCAACTTCACGCTGTGTCAGCCCTTGGTCAATTAATGCTACTGCTTGTGCAACTTGTGCTGGTGTTAATGGCATTTTTATTGGCTTTAAAGCACCTTTAGTTATTTAATTAAGACACAAGATCACAATAATTGAATAACCTTACAGTAAACTTTTCACAACACACAAATTTAAAATGTGAACTTAGTCGCTCAAATGACCCGATTCAACTAAAAATTAAAGAATTCGTCATGGTGCACTTAAACATAATGAATTACCCTCTTGAACTTGAGGGTAAACATTTTTTGACATACTTGCATAACAAACATTCATCAGAAACACTTAAAGCTTTTGCTATCGCGAGATAACCGCTTGGCCAAGTTTCCGTGCCGGTGAGTGTATAAACCGTACTTCTTATCCAGCAGCACAACAGATGTTTAAGACGTATACGACATTGTTTTAACCTTTTTTAAATTTGCTAAAAGTTTGACCTACTATTTTTACGCGTTCTCAAATTAAGCAGAGGTCAAGATGCACTTCTTGAGTCTTGACAGACGAGATCTAGAATATTAAGAATAGTATCTCTAATAATCAATTAGGATTACGTAAAACTAATATTAATAATATTAGTTTTACGTTATCCTAATTGATTATTTGATAATAATTTATTATTATTTTAGTTTTAATTTGTTTTAAGCAATATAAGTTAAATATAACAATTTCAAAATAACTGTTTACAGGGTTTGTATAATAATAATAAATCACCGAAACAGAATCACGTTGTATACACAATCAGATTATCACTACATCATAATACACACACAGGGCTCCTGAACGTAGGCCTCCTCCATATATTTCACAAATTATACCTACGTGGCGTTAATTGAGCTCATTAAAACTATTAACATTAAATAATTCACACCACCTGAACCTATGTATTTGTAAGGTTAAGATTTACAATGTGAACTTTAGAGAGATTCTCACGTGGACTTAACATTTGCGCTAGAACCCAACGACCCAACGAGGTTACGGTGGATGCATCGTTTTATACGATTACAATCTCAGCGATATTGCACGTGGGAAACTGAACTAGCGTCAGGTACCGTTGTTCGTTCCGCCTCAGAACTGCACAGCTGCACTTGCAATATTTAATATTACGACTTACGGCTATTGCTTGCCCGTAAGTGCTTTTGCTTCCACGCGCCGTGGAAGCCGCTATTTATTCCTTCTAATGTAAGCTTTCTTTGTCGTATCGTATAGGTCACAATTTTGCATTGTAGATGCGGTAATAAATTATATTCTGAGCTATAAATAATTTATTTTAACGCTTTCATGTGAATGATTTCTATCTTTAAACAAAAATACAAAAATATCAATGAAATTGTTACAAATAGATTGTTTGCCGTAAAACGTGGTGATTATAACAAATTATTCCTACCATAACCGGGAAGAACCATATCCATTAGTAGACTTACAGGCTGATTGATTTTTTTTAATTTGATCTGATCTTAATAATTATGAAGAAAAAAACTGTTTAAATAAAAGCGTACAAGTGTCTTACTAACTGAGCAAACACATCAGCTCATCATTAAGAGGATACTTAGTCAAGAAGACTTCATATATACCCGAGAATTATTTATTTCATATAAATATTTATTTAACATTTAAATTATAATTATTTTTATACAAAATGGTTTTTATAGAATAAGAGAGACATACGAGCACATAGTCCGCCTGATGGTAAGTGGGTGCTGTGGCCCACAGACATCTACATCTATTCTCGATTAAGAGTCAAAATACAGATGCGTTGTTTTTGAGGACTTAAATGAAACGCCTCGTTTCGAGTAAGAAAGCTCCCCGGATCTTTACACGCGACAAATATGAAACACAACAGCATTAAGCCGCTATTATACGGTGGTCTTCTGTGAGAGCGTGGTTCTTACCCGGTCAAGCCGACTCATTCGTGCTACAACTCATAATATAGTTGCAGCTACCATGTTCACACCAGGTTCCTATGTGAGTATTCGTGTTAGAAAACCATTTATTCATGTTTTCTCACGACGCTCCATTACAGTCTTGTAGCACGTGGTAAGTAAAACGACACGTACTCGTAAAATTGAAATTTACGAATTAATTATTTTTTTGTAAGTAACGTTTAATTTTTACGCATTTAGAGTTTTTAAGAGTTTCATATTCACCGACTGTTCTATGTTATTTCATTTAATTAATACTGTTTGGTATGAGTGACGATTAGCGATTGACATGCCAGGCGCGTTGTGGTCGCGGCTCATTACGAACCATTACCGCAGCGAGGGAGGAACGTGTCCAGATTGCCTAAATTATTGCCCGCGGCCCTATAGGGCGTCAAGCTTTAGTAGCTGCTTCATTCTCGTTTAGTACAGGATTACCGCTAGCTTTGAACGTTGTCTGAATTACATAATTAAATATCAGCCTTCTGTAACGGAAGAAAAGTTTGAAGAAGTTATTTTACCATTACAATGTCGTGAGGTAAGAGCGGTGCGGTGGTTAAGTTACAAGTGCCTTACCTTTCATAAAAATGCGAAATGTGAGATTGCCATTACTATTATTCAATATTTCAAACGGTTATAATCCCTTATTAACAAAAAGTTCTGAACTTGAAAACCTGAGTCAAAGTCACTCTCTTTTTTTCTAAGCAGATTGTGTAAATATTTTTATAACATTAACGTGAGAGAGCTGACAGTCCATTTGATGTCAAATGATGTCTGTAGTTCATGGACTAGACACTTATTACTCGTTTCAAATCAAAAATTCGTCACGGGTTTGTATATTTTTTGCTGTTGTCATTGAATAATATTAATTCCGCCATCTAGCGGTTTCGTCATCTAACGATATAGGAAATTCTCGTAGTATCTACTAGATTTTCTGGCATTTCCCTGAATCTGAAATGAGATCTGAATCTAAATCTGTTATACCGCCGCCAGGTGAAATTTAGGCTAATTTTATTATAGATAATTTGTGTTTGTAACATAAAAGAAGGTTTCCGTGCTCGTTTACATCTAGTTGTACGTTTTGCACACTAAATAGTTTAAAAAACTAAAAGAATTTATTATTCAAAATATTATAAATAATAACACAAGATCATTCTTCTCATCAGCAAGCAGTCAACATAAAGACATGGGCGTCTCCCTTAGTTGGACGTAATTGCTGTAGTCGCCACGCTTGTCAAGCGGGTTAATGAGCCCAGCACCAGACTCTACGCACCTTTGATGTCGCTTACCACCGCCGGTCTGGACAATATTAATGTCGCTTACTGTTTGAGGCCACAAGTTCATCCGGTAGTTATCCTAAATCACCTCTTACAATCGACAGTCGACACCTTTATGGAGTGATTCTCTGATTCTTTGAGATTCTTCTAACGCGATGATTATATGCCAAAACACAATATAGGGTAAAGGTTGGCTTTATGCTGATAATAAGAAAAAAACTTAAAATTTTATTTCAAAATTAACATTTATTAGAAAACCTCTTTACTTATTACAATAATCAGACTTTTCTTTTCAATAATTATTAATCACAGCAACTTAAATTCTTAAACATTAATAGGAAAATCAGATCAAACAAATCTTTTTTGGTGTTGGCAATATGGAGATACGGGGGCAATTTGGTGATACCATATGTGGCAATATGGTGACAAGTCTATTCAGGTGCCCAATCACTGTCATCAGTGCCTGAAAAGTCTACTTTATCACAATTATCACACAGGAACTGTGGCGACTCTGTGCCAGTACATTCTTGGTGGTACCATTTGCCGCAGCTCATGCACTCTACCCATACAGCTCCGTTCCTAAGTGCCACATCTTGGGAGTAGTGAACACCGCAATAGTCACACATCGTACTTTTATTTGATTTTGGTGTTTTCTCTACCTTGACTCTTGGTAGTTTATGCTTCAGGTTGCTTTCAGTTGAAGGTCCAGGAGTTGGAGAAGCAGAGGGGACACGAATCGAGGTAACGGTCTGCTCACTGGTAACGGTGACTGTGGTTTCGTTTGATATGGCGACGATGTTTTCTTCAGGACTGTCCATGTTGTTCGTGCTTTGAGGTGTTAAATATCGGGCCTGTGGATTCCGCTTAGCTCGTCGGGTACTAGAAGAAGAAGACTGTGGTACCTCAGGAACGGAAAGTAAAGAGAAAACTGAAGGTGACGCAGTTTCACGATTGACAGCAGAAGCTTGGGCATTATCAGTGGAAGATTCAATATTCTGTGACTGTAGGTCACTTGGCAGCATCAATGATGGGGCAATACTTTCATCAGAAATGACATTTCGATCAAATGGCGCAATGCCAGTTTTTCGAAAGCCGTTCATAATTATTGACGGCTGAAATGCATGCTCGTAGGCTGGTGTTAATAGGCGACAAAAGTCAAGCCTTGTTGGAGCACTCGTTGGATGTTGAAGCTTATAATCATTTAGCACTTTAGCCCATGCATTTTTCAGTGACTTGTAAACAGAAACGTCCAGAGGTTGCAGGAGATGGCTTGTGTGACTTAGAAAAGTGAATAGATGAATGCCATTTTTGTAGCGAAATCTATAACATCTTGGCTGACATGGGTAGAGTGAGAATCCATGATTAAAAGTACCGGTCTAGCTGGTGGAATACGAGCTTCAAAATGATGCATACACTCCAGAAATAGTTCAGAGTTAATCCATCCGTTTTTGGATAATCTCACGATAGACCCTTCCGGAGCACCATTCGCTAGATCATTGACCATTCGGACACCTTTAAAAATGATCAAGGGGGGGTACAGACGCTCCGCTCGCACTACAGCACCCAAGCACCGTTTGTGTGACACCTTTCTCTGCAAAAGTTTAACTGTACTGTAAATTACCTTCTTTCCAGTTTGAGTGACAATTTTTGACGGTTTTACGACGAACGTTACACCGGTTTCGTCGCAGTTATAAATCCTTTCAGGCTTTTGCAGAATATCAGCTCAATAACGACGTCCAGTAGCTTTTTATAAAAATCGTCAATGTTTTGTCTGTTAGCAGTAACAGCTCGGCATGCTGCAAGCTTTTCTGGCGTGCGCAATGAAAGCCCGTACCGTTCTTTAAACGACCACCACCAATAAGGCCCAGCTTTACGTTTAGCATCGTTAAACTGGTGATCTTTTCCTGCTTGGACTGCTAAAGCGTAACATTTAGCTTTGATGTCTGTGACGCTGAGACCAAATCCTAGTTCTTGCATTTTAATTATGTAGGAAACAAACTTACATTCAAGGTCGCTGCCTAATGTGAATGGTCTCCCAAGTTTAGGTAAGTCGAAACTTTCACCTCCATGAGTAGCTATGTGTCTTCTCAAAGTAGACCACGGTATGCCATATTCCTTCGACGCTTTGTACACTGACCAATTATCCTTTATAACTTTCATATAAGCCTCCTTGAAGCGTGAAGAGTCATAATTTCTGCGTTTCTCGCCCTTCATTTTCCTTTTATTTGCCTTTCCGGACTTGTTCCTGTAAGAAAAATCATCCAATACGTAAGACTATAACCCGGACTAATGAAACACAACCCGATATTTTTTTAACAGAAAGATACAACATTTCGAGCTTCATCTACCCTGAAAACCCCATTCAAATTAAGCTTGAAATAAAATAAAAATAAGCTATGTAATGTTTTTGGTAATTTGGTGATATTTACGTACCGATTATCCTCCATTTTTTCGCATATTTTGGCGCGAAACAAATAAACCGCGTCCGGTGAGGACAGCGACCAGCGGCCAAATGAAAGAGTGATGAACATACTCGCCTTCAGTTCATTGAATGAACGCAAAACTCGCGCTGGGCATTATAAAGACCGTTGAAAGCAAAATTATCGCCATATTGCTATATATCACCATTTAGCCAACCTTTACCCTACTGAGATCGTGATTAAAATCATCTGGTTATAATGATAAGATATGATGGGGGACATATGGATCTGAACGTAGTCCTTCACTGCTGACCGGATGAGGAGCTCAAGGTCGCTCAGGGCAATGAAGAGGGTAAGCTCGGAGTTTCTCTGCGTATAGAGATAGACTTCGTAGTAAGGTCATCTGCAGTTGAACCATTGTCTGACATAGCACAACGGGTCGGTAAGTAGAAGTGGTAATGAGTCGGCCATATAGCTCGAATAACAGAAAACAGGTAGAGAAAAAATGGTTCTCAAATTTTCAGTTTCGTACCGGTTAGTGACCCCCTACTAGATGGTGTGATTACCTGGTTAGAAATACAAGATATTGATGGATGCAGGTGGTTTAAGACTGCTTTGTACCCTTCCTTGGGGTAGAGGCGTATGTTTAACAGTAGACGTGATGAGCTGTAATGATGATGATGATGATGTTGATGCTGATATTGATACTCGATCACTTTGTACTAGTTTAAAATTCAACTTGCGTCTTGAACAATACGACGTCGATGTGCTGTAATTTCTTTATATTATTTTCATGGGTTTGCGATATTATGTTTGCGTTTATATACTAGGTACACAATATATTTGAAATCGCCTTTTTATATACATAATCATTTGAGTACACTAAATTCTTTGATCATATAGTCATGGCATATTGTTTACTTGCAACGGTTTATGTGTTTTAACAACGCTGTTTCCATATACGTCGATGAATCATTTAAATATAATAAATACGCCATCAGTTAATATGCTTGCTTGATATAATGACTACAAAAAATGTTGTTATGATTTAATCGATACATTAATTCCAGTGTTCCTACTTCTGCGCCCATATATAACGGGTTCCCGCCTAAATAATCGATTTTTCAAAGCGCTCTCCCTAGGGCGGATATTTAGTTAGGATTGCGGTAGTGACGCAACAGCTAATTCGTTCACACCTAGTATTTTCGTTCAAAGCAGTCACTTCGATCTAGAACTAGATCGCCCACAGACTTCCCGAACTACTTCCTCATAACCTATAATCTTTATTGTTTAAGATCATTGTTCGTTCTCTTCTAATTATATTAAAACGAAATTTGCATCTGTATTTTGGTAAACGTGTTTTGTTTACCTGCTATATTTATAAAGTTGTGTAACTTTCAATGAAAATGGAGAAGTTATTTAATGTAACTAAGTTTACAGATTTTATCGCTTAAAACTCAGTCCCCCCATGACCATGAGTGCTGGAAAGTGCCCGTAGCGTCGCGTCGGGAATTAATTATTTTTAAATTAAACGCGATAAAATCTGTAAAATATGTTTTATTCAATATTCATTTGCGAAAATATAAAAAATCATTAAGTTAATTAATATTTCTTTAGAATCTAAATTGCAAAAAATATATAGTATTGGCTTATAAATCGCCTTGCTTGACACAGGCCTACTTTTCTTTAAACTCTTAATTGAGATTGATCTGGTAAAGAGCCAAACGATTTCACTGTACAGCTCACTTACTTACACGTTTGCTTGAAATATATTTTATTTCTTAGACATGCATGTTTCCTTTGAATAATATTTTTTAATCGCTTGGGAGCACTTTAAATCTCAGCACATAAAATTAAGAGAAAATGTTTTACAGAAGACATAATTCAGTCACGCGGACTATGAAATAAAATAAAAGCGAACGCCTAAATTCCGATCTATTACATATTACCCATATAAATCTAAAATAATATAATAACTAAATAAAAAAATATTTATATTAAATACATATTATGATATGTGCAAACCGTAGACCAAGATAGAAGTATTCGATGAATGGTATCACAATTATTAAGAATTACACGCAATATCAAGCATTTTAACGGGTGAAAATTCGGTTATCCGTATCGAGTACACGGAATTGTATGATTGCCGTTAAGAATTACGTTTCTGGCAGTGAACGTCTGCTGCATCGATCGCCGGGTACCCCGCTTCATTGACATGGGAACGAAGCGAATAATTGTCCTCAATTTGTCGAATTACTCTAACAAGGGAAAGTATACGTTCTATAAGTACATAGGCAATATTATACGACGTATTGATATGATTCTAACCCCTGGTTAATTATTACGACAATAACCGAATACTACAGAAATTTACCAGAACCGAAACATTTACTGCACAATGCATTAAATATTTAAGTTTAGGAAATAAACGACTAAACAGAAACACACGTCCGTAAACCGTATCCGCTCCGTAACACTTACATGATAAGATCAGATATTGTCCAGAAAGATAAAGACTGAACTGACCAAAAAACGCTTGGGATTGAAATCAAAGACCTCCGACAGAGCAATCAGTGCTACAAAGAATAATTGACAATTTTTGACGACTTAAGTTTTATATTCTAGTTCTAGTAACACATCCAATACTGCGTCCATCCGAAACCTCAGTAATGTTTTATATTAAAAGTAAAGTAACCGCCTATATTTCTCTCACTGACATTTAGTTTTTTTAGGCTTGAGACGGGCACTATCCGGCCCGGTGATTTTGCAACCATTCGCTAAATTAAATAAAATGATGTGTCTTACCTAGTTAGAAGAATTTTATTTAATTTAGCGAATGGTTGCAAAATTACTATTAATATCATTTATTATAATGGATTTCCGCAAAGTAACGCCTGATTCTATCAATTAATGCAAGTTTGCCAGACTTCACATTTCCTGGAAATATCTTTTATTATTCAGACATGCAAATAATATCCCCTTGATGTTATTAGTAAATCAGCACTTAAAATTGCGGTAAACAATATACATATTATCGGCGACGGCGAAGTTGAACTCGGCTTGTTCGCATATTAGGAAGGCGAGCTCAAATCTCTCACTACTACCTGCTGCCACTACTGAAATATATCAAACTTTTTCAAACTATAAATATTTCATGGTTGTTAGCTAGTGTCTCAGTTGTTTCGCAATATATTCTACACATAATTGTTCGTGCCCGTAAATAAAAAGCAACGTTTGTTATTTGTTTTTGCATAACTTCTCATAATTACTACAAATGTAATTGTACACTTGAACTTGACCACCGAAATTTTCGTTTCGGTCACGGTATGTGTTCAAGCGTCCATCGCTAATAAAATGAATAAATATTGCTCGTACTTGAAATGTAATTACATCATCGCTGTTAAGTGAAATGTACAAACTAGTAAATGTAGACATTATCGTTTATCAGTTTTTAAATTTAAGTAATCTGATTCAGGCCTTGTTCGGAAAGGTAATATATTACGGCAATTAAATTGTTTTCGTAATATGTTTTCTTAATGTTTATCAATTTGTAATGCTATGAGACAATCTTTGTGGGAGTCTTATGTTCGGCAGTGGGCTTTAATATTCTGTGGTGATGATGAATTTATGGTAACTCAGTGTGTTAGCGTTTACTTTGAATTTCACAATAAGAAACACGATCACGAGAAACACGGTCGAACGCCGCCGGTACGACTGAAATTGTTTAATTGCAATTTTAAGCGCTGATTTATTACGTGCTCAGCGGTAAAGGAAAACATTGGGTCGAAACCTGCATAATATGTCGGCATTAAAATATTTTGTGAACATGTGAGGTCCGCCAACACAAATGAATGTAGCGCGGCGCACTAACTGCGCCATAACCCATTCTCTAATGAGAGCAGGCCTGTGCTAGACAGCGGGAATGGCTTTAATGTAGCGCGGCGCACTAACTGCGCCATAACCCATTCTCTAATGAGAGCAGGCCTGTGCTAGACAGCGGGAATGGATTTAATGTAGCGCGGCGGACTAACTGCGCCATAACCCATTCTCTAATGAGAGCAGGCCTGTGCTAGACAGCGGGAATGGCTTTAATGTAGCGCGGCGGACTAACTGCGCCATAACCCGTTTTCTAATGAGAGCAGGCCTGTGCTAGACAGCGGGAATGGCTTTAATGTAGCGCGGCGGACTAACTGCGCCATAACCCATTCTCTAATGAGAGCAGGCCTGTGCTAGACAGCGGGAATGGCTTTAATGTAGCGCGGCGGACTAACTGCGCCATAACCCATTCTCTAATGAGAGCAGGCCTGTGCTAGACAGCGGGAATGGCTTTAATGTAGCGCGGCGGACTAACTGCGCCATAACCCATTTTCTAATGAGAGCAGGCCTGTGCTAGACAGCGGGAATGGATTTAATGTAGCGCGGCGGACTAACTGCGCCATAACCCATTCTCTAATGAGAGCAGGCCTGTGCTAGACAGCGGGAATGGCTTTAACGTAGCGCGGCGGGCTAACTGCGCCTTAACCCATTCTCTAATGAGAGCAGGCCTGTGCTAGACAGCGGGAATGGCTTTAATGTAGCGCGGCGGACTAACTGCGCCATAACCCATTCTCTAATGAGAGCAGGCCTGTGCTAGACAGCGGGAATGGCTTTAATGTAGCGCGGCTGACTAACTGCGCCATAATCCATTCTCTAATGAGAGCAGGCCTGTGCTAGACAGCGGGAATGGCTTTAATGTAGCGCGGCGCACTAACTGCACCATAACACATGCTCTAATGAGAGCAGGCCTGTGCTAGACAGCGGGAATGGCTTTAATGTAGCGCGGCGGACTAACTGCGCCATAATACATTCTCTAATGAGAGCAGGCCTGTGCTAGACAGCGGGAATGGCTTTAATGTAGCGCGGCGGACTAACTGCGCCATAACCCATTATCTAATGAGAGCAGGCCTGTGCTAGACAGCGGGAATGGCTTTAATGTAGCGCGGCGCACTAACTGCGCCATAACACATTCTCTAATGAGAGCAGGCCTGTGCTAGACAGCGGGAATGGCTTTAATGTAGCGCGGCGCACTAACTGCGCCATAACACATTCTCTAATGAGAGCAGGCCTGTGCTAGACAGCGGGAATGGCTTTAATGTAGCGCGGCGCACTAACTGCGCCATAACACATTCTCTAATGAGAGCAGGCCTGTGCTAGACAGCGGGAATGGCTTTAATGTAGCGCGGCGGACTAACTGCGCCATAACCCATTCTCTAATGAGAGCAGGCCTGTGCTAGACAGCGGGAATTGGTTTAATGTAGCGCGGCGCACTAACTGCGCCATAACCCATTCTCTAATGAGAGCAGGCCTGTGCTAGACAGCGGGAATGGCTTTAATAAGGCACAAGGGAACTTTAACGTTTGATGATGTTTCTCTGTGTATATTATTCTAAATCTATAACAAAAAGAGATAAGAAGCACAACACTCACTCATAACACCATTTTAACAGCGTATCTAAATTAAGTTTATTGAAGGGTTGTAAACTTAAGAATAACTCGCGCTACAATATCGTTAGTTGAATAAGAAGGTAAATTTTGACAAATTGTTAATGATTATAAATAGCTTAATTAAGTAAAAGCCCGGTTCGAGCCCAGACCGACCGAACAACTTTTTTTATTTTTTTTTCAAGTTCCTTTCTTTTTTTGAGAAAATCTATTTTTTCGAGCCCTTTTTTTTAGTATTTTTTAAAAAACACGAAAATTTAAATTAAACTAATTGCACTCATGATCTTTTATTCAAATAACGAGTTCAGTTTTTTCTATTATGTCGCTAAGATCAAAAAATATTATTCATATTTCATCAGTATGTAATTGGTATCTAAATATAATTTCCAAAACACACGGAATAAAAAAACCAAGCAAAAAATACCGAGCAAATCTCTGTCAACCGGGTACTTTATATATATATATATATATATATATATATATATATATATATATATATATATATATATATATATATATATATATATATATATATATATATATAATATGTAACGTAATTAACGCACACCCTCAGTCAGACACCCCAATTAGTATATTATTTTATAATCATAATGCATACACGGAATTTTTAGTTAAACATTTTTATGCACTGATTATTTATCAAATTAGTTATACTAATTCCGGAAGAATGTTGTGGTCACAGTACAAATCCACGAACGCAAAGACTTTAATGTGCTTGAAATAAAGTTCATTTTGCTTTATTTTTATTGAATGACAGAATTAGTAATAATACAAACAAAACTGCACTCTTAAAAGTCTTATTGCCTTAAGTTACGGTCCATTTCAGTTTGTTTTGACTGTACAGATTTAGTGTGACTGTAATTTACGTAGTTTTAATTATTTTTGGGATAAAAAATTACCTATATTAAAAATGATAGGAAACGATTCAGTAAACGTTTCTGAACAAACTACTTTCTCAAAGTGCGTTAATTATGTTACGTGTTGTATATATATTCATGTATGCTTAGATGTCGCTTTCGATAGGGAATGGAAGTACATACATACATAATACATAAACACTCACGCCTGTCACCCAGAGGGGTAGGCAGAGACTACAGACTTCCATTTGGCACGATCCTGACACACCTCTCTCGTCTCCTTCACATCCATACATCTACGCATGCATGCTCGTCGGTTAAGGGTACTCCTAATTTGGCCCGTTTTCAATAAATCGCCAATTTGGTCGATAAATTTTCGCCTAGGACGTCCCTTTCCGACTCTGCCATTCACTTCTGCAACATAAATTTTCTTTGTCACTCTTTCCTCATCCATTCTTTCCACATGACCGTTTGGTCATGTGGAAAGAATGGATGAGGAAAGAGTGACACCGAAGCATTCCTTTCTTAATCCTGGTCACAACATCATCTTGCAAACCACACTCTTCTCTTATCACACAATTCTTCACCCTGTCATTCAGATTCAGCCCTAACATACTCCTTAACGACCGCATTTCTACTGCATTTATTCTACTCTCGTGCTTCTTCTGCCACACCCAACTTTCACTACCATACGTTAAAGTCGAGGAATGGAAGTCTTCCAAAGTTACAAAACAAATATGTGACTATTAAATATAAAAACTGTTAAGATTAATTCCATGTGAGTCTAAATTATTCATTTATAACGTATATATTTTAAGTGTTGTAACTTACCTACAGACATATTGTTAAGATATTTTGTAGCTATTACTTGTGTCCTCTTAGCATGACAATGTAACCTGTCATTTGTTGACATACGTCAAAAAATTTCCACTTGTAACGCTAAGTTGCTCGATTAAAATGGATGCTTTAAAATAATTGTGCCAATTACTGAAACGTTCTGTATAATGAACGCAGGAAATATCGTTTTAGTAAGTTTGTTGAAATATAAATTTAAAAAAATGATTATACATACTATGAACAGAAACAAACACGAGCTAGTAATATACAGTTATTCCATTCCACAGAGTCAGTGATCCAGTCATAAGATATGCGTACTCTGAACGAGTTTTAAATTTTATAAATCAAAAACAACCCGTTATGGATTATTATAATATTAAATAATACTAGTTTGATAATGACATTAGAATTAAGGTGAAGGCTATCCAAGCTGTTTCTAAAATGATTTCATAATTAATACGACAACTTCATTGCGAAGTGTTATACTTCGAAAAATGCCTTTTCTCTATCTAGAAAGTACTTTACCTAGTTGTGTTTCATTCTTAATGAGAAATATAACCTCAAATGGCTTAGCAAGATCCTCCGTTATGCCGAAAATATTGCAGCAATATTTTGAAATAAATATATGGTAAAGTTGAGGATTAATGTTAAGGACTATGTTAGACGAAAACACGATTCCGTAAAATTTTCTCGATAGAAAAAAAAAATCCAAAGTTACCTCCAAAATAAACATTAAACTGCTGTTATTCATCAAATACTTTAAATGTCATGAAACTTTGCATACTAACTGAACTAACTATAAAGCAGTGCTTATGTTATTTACTTATTTTAAAATACCATTATTTTCACTGTCAAAATAAATTACCTAAACTATCGGCCTCTTGAAGCGTGATTCCTGCCGCCCGGTCAGTTTCGCTTCGGCCTTTGAATCTTTTTGTGACTATTTAACTGTAGGTTCTTTTATTTGTTTTTGTCTGCATATGCCCATAGTTACAGGGCCACTTACCATCAAAGTACACTTAAACTTGTTTGTCAGTCTGATTTGAAATTGACCATCATAAAATCAATACTTTAAACAAATAACTGGAAAGGATGCGTCGTCTTCATCAGTCCGTGAAAGTCTGCTAGTAGACATAGACCTCTCCTGTTGTATAGAAGATTTTCCTGAATTGTCATACTTGGTCTAGTCTAGTTTCCTTTGGCATTTTTTATTGACTTTGATATTTTTATCTTAGAATAATTTAAGTTAGTTATATCGCCATCTATAGTAAATAATGAGATTTTTCTTTGCGATGTCCTACCTACGGGAACAAATAGGCTGTTGAATTTTTAACCCCGACATCTCATGGTGAAAGCAAGCATAATACACCTTATAATATTCAAATTCAATATTTCTTTTTACCAATTTTCTGTAGCGTGTTTGTTTACATTTACGAAATTTAAATTACATGACGTAGTTAATTTTGATGACGTAGTCGTAGGTATAAAAGGAATAAATGTGCTGCCATAATTTTTCACTGCGATCCAATCAGTGTGAGATATATATGAAACGACATTGTTATGATATAATGCTCTTTTGACTTTGAGAAAACTGCGCCTCTTGTTCAATACATTTTTATTAAATAAATTGTAGATTAAAAACCTACAAACGTGATTCCAGAAATCTAAATATCCTAATTATTTAGTATTTTTGATGGTTTAAATATTTCCTTCCTTTTTAATTTAAAGTATCATTAGTTATTGCTAGATTACTTCAACTAAACGTAAATTTTTGAGCAAGTGGGTAAGTCTTGTCGTTAGCTCTAAAGGCGGAATCGAATGTTTTTTATTAAGGTCCGTGCCCTTAAACGTAAGACCTCTAATATTAGGCATGTAGGCGTCACAGGGATCGCGATGAAACTCACTTTAATATAAAAAGGGCTTTACACACGAATATTTTTTTACGTGCTTTTGAAGCTCGTCAGACAAAGAAAACGAGCCGCGAACGTTTCACAAACGCACAGTAAGTAACGTTGATCGAGAAGTGTTTGCCACTACTCAAAAATGCCTTCGTAATACTGATTTTTATGGACAATTAGCGGTAATACGAAGTGATCGTAAAAATATAACTAACAAAAAACTGAAAAGGCTGCACATAGACAATTATTGCTTATCCCTGTCGAGGTTCCCGAGTTTGGACGCCACTAACGCGCTTCATGTGTCGCGCATTTGTATCGACGCAAACGTACTGTCAAAAATGCGCTTCACATTCACACGTGCTCGCGAATTATCTAAACAGTAATATTTTATACAAGATGAAAGTAGACAAATTGTTCCAAAACTTCATTGAAGCGCTGCATCGATTGCGCGGGATAAAGCCGTGTGTAAAGGCCCTTAGAGTTATGAATCGCCAGCCCACGCTCGGGGCAAGGCCGGTTCGTTGCGCAGTTGGCGTAGATGATTAATCTACACGGAATCAATCAGTGCCGGACACGAGTCAGAAGCAATCGGCTGGCGTTATCTCTCTCTCGTAGCGTTACGAGCATTACATAAGAGGTCTGGGTAAGGTCCTACAGGACTATTTTACACAAATGAATATTTCAAACTTAAGTAACAGATTGATCTATGTTCTTTGTTAAATTATATTTAAAATATCGTACGATAAAAGTTACACGATGTTTTTGAAGTCATAGTTAGCAAAACTTTTTTATAGACAAAGTTAGCTTGGGTTTTCGTCAAAGCTTTTTTCTTTGAAAGACTATACCAAACACATTCTGTGCCATCCAATCTGCCTCGTACATGTCGTGCTTTGTGTAATTCTCTTTTTTGTGTCATAAATCATAATATCATACCATCAACAATTTTTTGTCGGCATGTTTTTAGTTTTTGCTTTACGTGTTTTTGTTTTTTGTTGTCGTAGACGCCAGCTCATCGGAAACGCCGAGGAAGACGAGCGACGACTTTTTGCGAAAACATTTATCAGGTAAGTTTTACTTTTATGTCATAAAAAATTCCATTAAAATTAAAATTTCAAATTAAACGGCATGCTAGCATGGACTTGCTTTGGTCTATATCAGCGATTTCATGCACCTGTTAGATTTAAATTTCATCATATCATAACTATTTCAAGTTTGTACGAAATCTAAAGCCACATTTCGCATTATGTCACGCTTCTGCACTCCGTGGAGCAGATTTAATCGAAGCCGAAGAAGACGAAGTATCTAGCAGCCTCCCCGATCGGCAGCGCACCTATAGAAAAGCATCTAGTAAGTATATCATAGTAATCTGCATGTAACATTTGTGAAGCACGTTATTATACACCAATTGATAATAACACGAACTTTAAAGGTCACGATGAAAATAAATAACAGTCGATAAAAAGGTTAAAGTTTGTGTTACTGTCATTTGAGATACAAATAGGTGAAGGCATGCTACATTCATTTGTGTTTGTTAATTACCAACGTAGGAAGGTGATGGAATTTGGAAACAGCATTCCTAACCAGCCACAATTATATAAAAGCATTGACAATACATGTATCAATAAAGTGTAATACATTCCTATGTAATTGTCATACTCATTATATAACAATCACGACTTTGCGGATTCTTTAAAATAATAAAATGCATTAAGCGACACTCAAAAATTTAACAGAAAATATTAAACACCATCAAAACAAATTTTAACTTGTAAATTATTTAGCAACTTACATATTTTGACATTTTTACCGTATCCGAGTTTTTGTAACATGGCTCCGTAATGATCGTTATTGTTTGAAATGTATTAATTACAACCGGTTATATTTTTTGTATGATGTAATTTGATAGATACCTAACTAAATTGTAACAAGGTAAAATAAATATAATATTTTTGTAAATAGTGAAAGAATTAATCGGACTACTTACTGACATGACTAATATTTAATATAATATACTTAAATCCGGTACCTAAATTTATCAAGAAAATTTCGTGTTAATGTGTATTGATTGTGTTAGTTGTCAATAGCATGGTGTGCGCTGGTTAGTAGTGGCTAATGTTTGTGTGTGTCACTTGTGTACGTAGCCGCTAGCAGCACGCTCAGCGGCACTTCGATGGACGCTCTGTGGGAGAAGCACGCGCGTCGCCTCAGCGAGGCTGGTCTAAGGAGGTCCTCAGGTAACTTTAAGTTTCATCACGCCCTTGTCAATTCACAATCACACCACCATTTGCATATTACACCTACAAAGGCTATCACCTCAGTATTCACGTATGGAAATGGTTTGAATATCCGTGTATCATTTGTCATGACTTTATGTCGCTGACGCTACACGTAGATCGCCTACGGCCTACACGTACACTAAAGCTTTTGGTATTCAACACCGATAATAATTGGGCTTACGCTCTTGTTTGTTTGCAGCCATTGGAATTCGCTATTGAATAGTAGAAATTAAGACTCGGCATGGTATCTTAATTAAGATATTGTAAGCTGATTTTATATATAAGTCAAATGCAGTTTGTTTAGACTTACAAATATTTATTAGCTTTATCCGATTTAAAAAAAGGCTTACAATCTGACTCGAGTACTTCGTCGATTGTGAACCGATTCTACCGAACCGAATATGGGATGAATTTTTAGGTTAACTGTTTAGAAGACATTGAGATTAGTATATTGCTTAGTAGTGTCCACGCAGAAAGGTAAAAAATAACTTTTAGGAAAAAGTAAAAGCCGATTTCAAAGGTATCGTAGATGTGTGTTCAATGTACGTTGCAATTGCATGCAACGGTATTCAAGTCGTGTGCACGTTGTAAAAACATGTGCGGTGAATAAGGAATGCAAAAAGGATATCCATATTCAGAAGTCTATAAACTTTAGCGCTTGTCACTTTCTTTAGAAACTCAACGGAACTATAAAGAATCTGACACAAGGCACACTTTTTTTTTTTTTTTTTTTTGCGCCCGAAGCAAATATGGGCAACCCTCCGGAAAGCAGGGGAGGGAGGTTGAGAATGCTCATAGCATACCACGCAGCCGGCTGCGTGGTTATGTGGAGACTTTTACCCACTAAACTCAACCTTTTGGTAATTGGCTTAACGATCTGACTAGAGATCTCTAAGCCGTATACGAACGCGACCCTCCTTGGCAGAAAGGAGGGCGCAGCAGAAAGGAGGGCGCAGGCAAGGCACACCTACATAATTATAGTAATGTTATGTTATTACATTTCAGACCACAGTGTAATACTAACAGAGGATACTGACAGCTTTATAATCGGTGAGCGCGTTTGGGTAGGCGGTACAAAGCCTGGTCAGATTGCATACATAGGCGAAACACAATTTGCTCCTGGTGACTGGGCGGGCATCGTACTTGATGACCCGATAGGTAAGTGTTTGTATCAGAAAAAGGATTAAAATTTTTACTTAGAAATATACATACGTATTTTATTAATATTTCTAGGAAAAAACGATGGGTCAGTTGCCGGGGTACGTTACTTTCAATGCCCAGAAAAACGAGGTGTTTTTTCACGTTTGACGCGTTTGACGCGAGCACCTCTAGCGACTCATGGCCCTCATGACGCTTCGCCTATCTCCGATGCCGGCAGTGTCTTCGAACGACCGCCTTCTGGCTCCGCTAGACCCAGGCGTACGCTTTCTCCTAACGGAAGCGTGCGTAGCATCGTCAGCAGTAAAATGAGTAAGTTCAGTTTTACGGATTTATGTCTTGTGAACTAATTTCGATTCTGTTAATTTTTATTTTTACTTACAGATGCTTCGATTTCGACAACGACAAATGTAGAACTCCGCCTGGGTGACCGCGTAATAGTATCAAGCAGTAGAGGCAGTAAAGCTGGTACTTTGCGTTATGTAGGTGCAACTGATTTCGCGTCCGGCGTATGGGCCGGTGTTGAACTCGATGATCCTCTTGGAAAAAACGATGGCTCCGTTGAAGGCAAGAGGTCTGTTTGAAAACTATTTACTCTCATTGTAGAAGCTCGAAGCTTTAGTTTCCAATGTATTATTTGTTACTTAATGAAAATATAAATATAAATAAATTGTTTATTTAAAACAAGAGTACACGTCGCCAATCGCAATCAACTTGCAAATAAACGTACGGTCACCTTTATCGTACCTTTCCAGGTACTTCGAGTGCGCACCGCGCTTCGGCCTATTCGCGCCGATCTCTAAGGTGACGAAGTCCCCGTCGAACAGGAAGCCAGGCGCTTGCGCGATCCACAGCAACGGTCGGGCGACGCCAGTTCGACGTTCCAACTCGCGGGAGTCTCTCACTTCGTTGGGCACGTCGATTGCGTCTTCACGCGTGGGGGTGAGGCTGGGCGTCACGCCACTCGGCGCTCAGGTAGGCTAGCCTCGCGCGCGGTCGGCCGAGCCACCGCACCGCTCCGCGCCCAACCTCCACGACAAAACCCTGCTGGTGAAGCATGTGGAACGGGATCGCTGCGCCTTGATCGCTCTGCCCCAGCCGCGCGTTTACTACGATTTAGTCTTCCACTCGGTGGCTAAAAGCAACGAGTTGAAAGTGAGGCGTTGGTCGAGCGAAACGCTGCCGAAGTCGTGGCGTTGTTCGGAGACCGTGCTGAGTTTCGAGCGAACACGGCGCAGCGATCCGGGAAGCTCTAACGGGACGTTGTCCCGTTCGAGTGCAAGCGAAGTGGTCCGCGTGGCAGGCCGGCCGGCCGCCGTGACGAGGGCCAGCCGCGGGGTTGCCGCCGACTTGTTCGTTAACCTGCCGTCGTCGCGCACTCACTTCTCCGGCTTCGGGAAGAGCTACCACTTCTCCTGCGTCTCCCCTTTCCAGTTCACATATCCCAACGTGGTGTACATTTGAGCCAGTTCTTAATTTCCGTGATACACAGAGCACAATAGTTCCGAATCGTGTTTGGATACGCGAACCGTGTCTGAACAGTTACCGTCCTACAAACATTTTATTTTTCGCGCAATATTTAAGGTAAGGTAAGCACCCGCAGGAGAAATGGTGTGTGTAGTGTTTGCTTGCCGTTTGCATGAGCATCGGTTTTACTTTATTTGTACTTGGCACCCCTTGGTTTGGCCCTTGTGTTAATATTTTATTATGTTTATTACTAAAAATATTTTAAGTCACCATTTTAATTTTAGTTATAATTTACATTTTGTTTTTATTGTAGTTTTTGAGTTCATTTATAGTCCCAGTCCTGATTATAGTAATTACTTTCCTTTACCCCGCTTGCATTTGGTCTCGCAGTTATATGAGATTCAAGTAGTCGTCATATAGTAGAAACTTTTTATGATTTCAATCTGTGATATTATTTTTAAGGTTTCTTATAGGACACATTAGGAATGATTCAGACCTGACCGAGTGCCTTGGCCCGAGTCTGAACGTACAATACAATGCAATAAAGGAAACTTTATAGGTTACGTGCAAATAATATAAACTTGAGTAATGGACATATCTATTTGCTTTCTCCGATTTTAAAATGAACTCCATTGTATTCCGTCAGATAAGAATTAGATATTACGCTCAGACAGCGTGGCTGTTACGTCGCGCGTTTTTGGTCGCGATGATTTGTTCCAAGGTATTAGCATACAGTAGGTACGTCGCGACGTACCCGCGACTTGCGACTGACGATCGTAATCGCTTATCACACAATTTCTCACCTTCAATAACTCCTAAAAACTCTTTTACAATAAGAGTAGGGACTCAGCATTGTGAATGGTCATACGTGCCTTTTTGACATATTCTGACATATATCCACAATAGAGTGAAGAGCCCTATTTACTCTGTGTCCATATAAATAGAACGTTTGGTTAATATCTACCAAACAAATAATATAACAATTCATATACGTTTGCTGGTCACCATACCTTTTCTTTAACTTGTTGACATCAAAACGATTGTCACTTTGTAGTACATTGCGGCTTATTCTATATAGCTTTTTTAGCTCATAAAACATAAGACGCAATGTACTGCAAAGTGATAATCGTTTGATATTATTATAATATATTGATATTATGATTATTAATGATTATCACTTTGCAGGGATTGTGAATATGCCTGCTAATCTGAAGCGACAGTGTAGTTCCCAAAACTAGACTCAAATTCGCGGTGTCCATACTAAACCCTGTGTTTAATAAACTTTGTTACGTTATACATATAACGACGGTAAATACTGACATTAAAAGCTTACTTGAAAAGTTAGTAATCTCGTAGACGCTAATCAGCAGTCATCTGCAAGATGTGAACGTCGTTGCTACTAGCTGAAACTTCGACCGATATCGCGTGACTTAGCCGGCACGCTTGCTGAGCCATTACGTGTTCTTTTGTTAGTGCTTACTAATTTAGTTTTACGTCAGCATGGTTTGAACTTGACAATAATATATTGCCAAAGACTATTTTTATATATTGATCAATAACTTTTTTACCTAAGTGATCATCAAACGAAATCTAATTATGAGTTTAAATTCAATTCCAATTTATTATGTATTGCATTGCGTACTTAGTATTTTCATTGACACTGTAGTAACTAAATTCTCACAATTTTCATTACACGTTCAATCATTTCGTAGAATCAAGCGCTTTTTTTATTTGCTCCTAATTTGGACAGCTGTTCTATTAGAAATGTAATAATTTATGGCTATTTTCAACTATTAGAAACATTAAATCCAAAATAAAACTCCCATTACTACAACGTTCAAATTTAAAAAAATAGTTATTTAATGCTGTACACGGTCACTCATAGAGTTACACTTATTGGACAAACAAAAATGTACGTTGATCGAAATATATATAAATTATTTCGATTCCTTATATTTATTGATAATTTATTATTAATGGTAGAATGTGGTAGCGACGTGAGAATAACCATCAACCCACTTATCCCGTAGGTATTGTAAGAGGCGACTGTAGGGAATGCGACCGATAGCGTAACGCACGAGACAGCAGCGTCAAAGGTTAAAGGTTAAAACTGAGCGACACGACGCGTCAAAATATTCTTTATATGAAATTATATGAGACACCACGCACTAAGCGGCAGCGAAACTACACTGCAGCAGAACTGCGCGGAAAAGTTGATCAATGTCCAATGAATGACACGATTAAGCAATATAACTCTTCCAAATTTAAAACGATATTTCTATAATTATTTCTTCTGTGGCAGCAACGCGCCGAATACCGGCTAGTTATATATACAATTGCCTGATTAAGATGTTACAATAGCAACGTTATTTAATAAAACAGCTGTCCAAACTTTTCAATGCAGTTCCAAGTTAAACTCGGAGGTGCATTGCGACCAGTGTATTGCGTATGCGTCTCAATACAGTTAGAATTTTGATGGGAAATCAAAATTTTAATCGTATTTAACGCCTTTTAGCGTAGTTAGAGCATACGCAATGGGAAATGAGTGCGTTAACGGGTGTTGTTTTGTTGTTTTCCCCCCATGTTTGGTTTGCGCGTTCTCACTGTGACTAACGGCACGGCAGCGAGGCGGTCCGCGAGCCTCATCCACGCCCGTCAGCGCCAAGAACGCGTTACAGGTACGGTATCCCACTATTGCGGCGCGGTAAGCTGCCCCTTAACGCCATTGTGGTACGGTAGGATTCCGTGCCTCACTATTGGGCCTTGGTAGAACATCGTTGTTAATTGCATAAAGATATTGGCTGCGTTTGACAGAAAAAGGCGAAACTAAACAGTTTTCTAGCGCTTTTTTCTGCCAAACTCAGCCAATCTAAAGTGTCAAATATTGTGGTGCGATAGACTCCCGTGTCTCATTCGTGTGACGCGATAGGCTAACGCATCTCATTTTGTAAATGCGATTTTCTATTGAATCCCAATTTTGTGGCATGGCATGCAACCGCTTCCCGCTCATGTGGCGCGGTAAACTCGTGAGAAACTGGCGTGGGCTTTTTATCAAATGTTGACATTTTGCAGCTTCGTAATAATTAATTCTTTTAGTTTTTAACCGATCATTATTTAACAAGTAAATTTACTTCTTAAATGATTATCGATTTCAAAAGGAAAAAGAGAAACGATTCTCACAAGCTTTTAAATTTCTAGCTTATAAAGTGAGATTTCGGTTTATCAGTATAACTTCTCGAAGTTTCAAATTATTATTAATAATAACAGTATATTTAATATCTTTTTTGTATATTAAAAATAATCAATCTTAAATTTTGGACTATAAGTAGTTCATAAGTTTTTCTAATAAACGATATAACGTACTTGCTGCATAATGCATAATAATTTTCTCTCGATATTTAGCGCACGTGAGTTGATACTTTTAACCGAGTACCGCGTTGTAATATTGGGGCTTTCTTTTTGTTTTAAAAAATTAAACAATGTTTTATGTGGTTTTGTTTTTACTTGTTCAAACGTTTTTTAATACTAAGATGTAATATTAACCTTTACCTATTTCAGGTTTTTTTAATTCTTTCTTTATTTATAATAATTGTTATTTGTCAAATAGCACAGTAAAGTACAAAGAAATGAATAAAAGTCATGTTCCACAATAAACCAGATTTATACAAAATCTAGGCGTTATGTTGTAATCATTTGTGATAGAATTAAAGATTAATCTCTTTTTAGCATTTTGTCAAAGGCAAAAACTGTGATATTACTTGGCTTCCTTTGCTACATTTATTTTGGTGCAATGGAAACAATATATTTATTTATTATGCTTATTTATAGAGAAACCAGTGCCTGTAAGAGTTGATGATATTCATACTATGTAAGAACTTATTCGACACTTAAGCATTCCTTTTACCTAATATATTTTATAATATTTCTGTCGTCTATACATGACGGATTAATTACTTTAAACTAATGTTACGTTAGTAAAGTAACATAGTTTTAGACAGTACTAAGAATAGTATAGATGCGTCGATATGAAATACTAATAAAACACTTTTAAATACATTTAGATACACATATAATAAACTTATAATCAATCAAATATATAACTTAAGGTTTTATTGAATTTATTCTGTCAGTTTTTTCACCGCATTTGACGTATCTATTCCGTTCTTAGTACTGGATTTAGGTTAGAAACTAATGTTATAAGTAATATATGAACAAAAATAAATATAAGGTAATAAAGTATGTCTAATGTGTGGCGTCTTATTATTCTATCCCTCTTTGTATCTACGACACAATAAAGTATTTCCTATAACTAACTGCTGTGGTTTTATTGTAATAATAACGCTGTATGTATTTGCTTGTGCGATCGCATGTGTCTGTTCGCGTTTGGTGCTTGGACGTTGAGTTTACAATTCTATCAGAGCCTTTTATGAATACTACTTGACAAAAGCACAGAATATCACTATAATAGGGTCTCTTAATCTGTTTACAGTTGTAAATATAACTCTACAAATTGTAAAAATAATCAATCACAATAATTTTGTCTATCCTATATCTCCTGAAATTATGTTATACAAAAATTTATACTTATTTTATCATAAATTATTGAAAACAAAAATAAATCTCCTTTTATTGTGAAGGTACATTTTTAAAAAAAATCATGAATTTTGGCATTGTAATAATAGATATTCGATAAGAGCGAAACTATTTGAGAGGATCTGACTTGAGAGGAGCAATTTTTTTGATAAATAAATATATTCTGTAAAGTTTCCAATACTAAGCTATCATGCCAGGTTACTTATTGCTGGTAGGTAAATAATATAATATATCGGAGGCTTACCGTAAAAGTCGAGGAGATTAGTTTCCTATTGGCGTGCTGCCTTCGTAAGGTTTGTAGAATGTGTTAGTTGTCAGTTGCAGAGTTCTGGATGTAGCTAATGCTCTACGGGAGTGCCAACAAAGCCTTCCTTTCCTTATTTCCATCTATTCAAAATTTATTACAATATTCATTACAAGTGATGAGAAGTAACTGTCAGTGCGGTAGTAAGAGGTACTCATAAACCTTCGGTTTTTGGATTGAGATAACTCTGGATCCTGGAACACCAAATTTCTTTTTGGTAATGGAATTATGTGATTGATAGAAATTAAGATATTATATCTCTTTTATATTGTTTAGGTGAAAGTGAAACATCTTTTTTTCATTAATACATTCTTGTTTCTATTTAAAACAGAGTTTTAAATAGCACTACGTTATTTAATTATCAATGAGACTCGTAGTTTGGTACGGGTTCGATCTCGGAAAACTCAAATCTGATCCGTGTTTGAGTATCCGGTCTATCCATAACTTTGTCTTAGCTAAATGAGAGCCACGACGGTTTCTGCCACAATGGCGGTACCACTGGAATAAGGTATTTGACAGGTTTCATAGCGGCGAAGTATTGTAAATATAAATATAATTGTATGTTATAGAAAAATGTTAGGGTTATTATATCTTTTTGTAATATTAGATGTATTTTATATTAATTAGATTAGAAGTAGAGCCGTGGTAGCTCAGAGGGTTAGCGCTCGCTGTAAATTTCACAATATGCGAGCAAACCGGGTTCGATCCCCGCCGGCACCAATGAAATTGTTAATTGCAATTTTAAATGCTGATTTACCACGTGCTCGGCGGTGAAGGAAAACATCGTGAGGAAACCTGCATGTCTGAGAAATAAGAAAAAAAATATTTCGAAGACGTGAAGTTCGCCAACACGCATTGGGGCAGCGTGGCGGAGTATTCCTAGCCCTAAAACCCTCTCAGAAATGAGAGGAGGCCTGTGCCCAGCAGTGGGACATATATAGGCTGTAACTTTACTTTACTTTTAGATTAGAAATGAATAAACCAAACTAATCTGTAATTCCTGAAAGTAGAAAACAAATATTATTTTAATTTTAAATTGTATTAATATAATACTCCAGAAGTGTAAAAACTAATAAACTTTTATTTAAAACCAACTTCTCAATGAAATGACATTTTGTAACAAAAAATTTCACCTCTGTCGTAATTAACGAAATCTGGCGAGCTAAAATTATAAGATAAAGCAAGTACTTAGAATAATTTGGTGATAGAATTCTTTTCTTTAGGAACATTCACCTCACCCATAATAATTCGCCTAAGTAAGATACATCTATTTACACTTGTTGAAAGGTTGCGGAAATGCTTTTCTTTATTATATTATGGGTTGGTTCATTACTACTGATACCCTTTTCTTTACTATGCAACATCTAATTTGTACAGTTATTAAGAGTGACCTTAATTTAATGTATATAAAAGCACATTGATTGCCGTGTGGTTCTTCAATTAAGAATGAAAATGCTGAGATGGAATGCTTCGTTTCCAGTAATAAGGTTCTCCGGTTCTCTACACTCACTATACGAAACAGCAGCGTTAAGCTACTATTTTACGCTGGTATTCTGTGAGAGCGTGGTCCTACCCCGGTCGAGCCGACCCCTTCGTGCTGATCGATTATAATTTGAGTATCTTCAATGTAAGAGTGAATAGACTTTTCCTAAGCTAGATCATTGCACTTTACCATCTTCGGCTGCGACACCACTTACCATCAGGTGGGATAACAGTCAAGCGTTGTCTTTGAATGGTTAAAATAAACCTGACCACTTAACCACGCGCGCACCATGAAGTGTAACGAAAGTGTAACGTATTTTGATCTTTAGCATAGCTCTTTTTGAGTGACATATTACCATATCTATTTGAGTACATAAATATTACCATATGTATTTGAGTTATATATAAATAGTACCATATATGCTTGAGTACATAAATATTACCACATCTATTTGAGTACACAAATATTACCATATCTGTTTGAGTACATAATACGACCATATCAATTTGAGTATACAATTATTACCATATCTGTTTGAGTATACAAATATTACCATATCTGTTTTAGTACATAACATTACCATATCGAATACATAAATACATATAGAATACATAAATATATAACCATATCTATTTGAGTACATAAATATTACCGTATCTACTTGAGTACATAATTATACCATATCAATTTGAGTGCATAATTATACTATATCAATTTGAGTACATAAATATTATCATATCTATTTGAGACTACATAAATATCACCATATGTATTTGAGTTCATAAATATTACTTTATCTATTTGGCGATGCACAAATAACTATATTTTGCTGGGATATTTTATAATTCAACTGAGATATATTATTAGTATTCTTGATTAGGTACGCACATTATTATGAAACATGCTACATAATAAAAACAAACATGTTGTGGTATACGATGATCGCTGTTGTCATCATCATCCCCAGCATGTAAAAGTCCAATGCTGGTCATAATCCTATCATTTCTGATAGTCCTTAGATCCTCCTCCGCTCTGCTGCAGTGGGTGTTAGCGTTCTTCACGTTTATTTTTTTGTTACAGCTCCTAAAACGTTGACTGCTGAACACGGGCCTCACAGTAGATTGCCTCAAAGAGGAGTTCGCAGTCTTTGTTTTTTTAATAATATTATTTATTGAGTTGTTATCAGAAAGGTGCTGCTGCTCATCTAATTCTTTGCTATTACACGGCAGACTTCATTAGTTTTCATTTTCCTCAGACAGACTGGATTTCTCACGATGTGTTGCTTCACCGCCGAGCAC